ATAAGTCACCATGGGCCTGCCTGTAGAGGCAATGAGACAAGAAACTTGGGTGTTTTGGGGGAAGACATCTATTCATAAATTATTTTTCAAAATAGTATTTGTTTACAATGACAAGCTTTGTAATAAGCCTTTCTAAATCAGTTGCTTTGAAGTTCGACACAGCTGAAGGATGTGGGTGTGTACAGAAGGAGCACGACCTTCATTTAAACAAGCTGGTGAGGGGACAGGGAGGCAAAGAGCCTGTGCCAGTACTTCTCCCATCGAAAGGCATACAAATACATTGTTTTACACTGTAATCATTGCTGTCATTTCACCTCATGGACTTAAAATTGTGAACTATGCTCTTTATAAAGCTGGCCAGCAAAGAAGCACAAACACGTTCAAGAACAAGATGCAAGAGCATTAAAAAGTCAGCATAAGCTGAATAAAAGCCTAGTAATTTTGAAAAGGGAAACAGGTATTTTACTGCTGGTGACAGGGTGCAAGTTCAGCACTTACCTTGGTTGCCCTACCTGTCAGTTACTCAGGTATTAGAATAGTGTCTTTTTCCATTTAAAACGTGCTGTGCTTAATACTTTCTGGTCAAAGCTGTGTGTCATGTTGCCCTTTGCAGAACACACACAAAGATGGATGTCCTACCATGAGGCTCTCCTCTGATCACTGTTGCATGCTGTGCCTGTCCTGAAAACCCCAATCCAGAGCTGCAAGCAACCAGATGAAGACCAGAACAGTCCATTTTGCGAGTCAAGTTTGACCTCCCATGCTGCCTAAGTCAAAAAACACCCTAGTTCAGAAATCTCCTGCCTTCAGGCTCTTGCTGGTCCCTGAGCCAGAGCCTGGCAGGTTGGAAACCTCAGCTTTCAGTCTGCTGTTGGCAGGTACAAGAAGAAGGCAGGGAAAGAGGCTCTCGCAGGGCTTTCTGCAAACTCTGACATGATTTTAATGAGCAAGTGCATTCCTTGGGTTGTGCACAGCTGGGAGTGCAGCAGCAAAGCAGGCCAAGATTCCTATGAAGACTTGTGCCTTTCCAGCAGGTTGAAGTTACGTCTGCCACTGCACATTGCCTGCTGGCAGTCAGAGCATCCTTCAGCAACCTGGGGGAGGGACAGCCAAGGCTGGCACCTTGGTGGCAATGACAGACCCCTCCTAGGACATGGGATCTATTTATCTTTGAGAACCAGACTTTCCTCTTTGTCTGCACTGGGAGCAGTGGAATTGCCCTGCTATCCCAGCCTCAGGGTAGTTTATGGCTCACCTGCTCTTCTGAAAATAAATAAAGCAGAAGTGGGAAGGTTGTCAGCTGCCAGGAGATTGTTAGAAGTGCTTTGCTTTATTGATGCCGTGTTACAAATGAAAAGCACAAAAGGTGCAGAAAGCATCTGTCTTGCCTACTGCTGAGTGCATGAGTAAAATAATCCATTGTACAACAGTACCTTTCTCAGGTCTCCTCACAGCCACGTAAAAAATCAGTGGACATTTATAGATGCAACAAAGAAATCAGGGGATTTTAAAAAATAACAAACATAAAAAACCATAAAAACAAGGTTTTTCCCCTTTGCCTCGTGCAGTTAGGTCCTTCATTTAGTGCAGCTAGGTACATCACTGAGAGACTTCTGACAACAGGCAGGATTGAAGGGATGAGGTTGCTCTGGGACACAGAGGAACCAATTTGGAGGCTCAGTCTATTATGAAGGGGAAAGTATGTGTTGGTTAGTGGTGTTTTTTCTTCCTGTGTCTCCCTCTACCCAGACAAATCCAGAGACACTGATTCATGTACCTTGAAAATATTTTACCCACTTCCACACAGAAAGTTGGACCTTCCCTATTTCCCAGTATTCCTCTGGGTATCACCTAGGAAAATGCCCTCCAAAGAGATGTTTTCAGCAAAAAAACATTTTCCCTTTGCTGCCTGCAGAGCTACATAATAATGCTGAGACCCAGGGGCCAGAGCTGGGGCTGGCCTAGGATGCAGGCTTCTGCCTCTCCTTGCAAGTAAAGGCAGTCCTTGACAAGCCAAAAGGCAAAATGGCATATTTTGAAGTCTCTGGATATCCAAAGAAATTAGCTGCTCTGGTCTGGCCCCATGGTGACTCCTGATAGGATAAGGCAAAACAGAGGGTTTATGAAGAGCTGTGCTTGGAAACATCATCATCACACTTATGGTGCTTCCAGCTTTGTTGCTTTCCTTCCTGGAGAATGCAGCAAGATATTTGGCTGAATGTTTTTTTTTCTTGCTTTTCAATCAGCTCTAAACACCCCCCATGACAGTGGCTTACACAACAAAGAGCAGAAGAGGAGCAAAGTTCCCAAAAGCAAAATTGCCATCAGTTACAACCAGAAGCCACAATGAAATCAGTCCTCACTCTTCATTGAGACACATTTTAATGTGAACAAAACCTGTGCCAGGTCTTGGAACATGGTTAGAAAGGCAGACACATCCTTTCTCCACCTGGAATAAGGCACGTGTCCAGAGGAAGCAGTCAGCCCTACATCTGTGCAAAACCCCCCCTGACCAACCACAAAAATCCCAAAAGGAAAAACTGTGTGAATTTTTTTTTTGTTGCTGTTTATTGCAAATTTTTAAAAGAAACTGTGGGTACTGTTTTACCCACAGTTGTTCTACTACCAAACTGGAACTTCAGTGTTCTACCTTCTATTTGCAGCGGTGCATGACGGTTGTATGTGATGAAAAGCAGATCTTTGGGATTCCTAAAAACATAAAGAAAAGCTAAATCTGCCCCAAGAAACCAAAGAAGCTCCATCTATCAGGAAACCTAACCTAGACAAGTTTGTTTGTTCTTTTTTGCCATCTTCAGTTCCCATCCAGCTTTCAGGTCCCTGGGAACAACCCAAACTGGTAAATGCTAAGCAAAGCCCAACAGCTGCTGGGAAACAACCCCAGATCTCTCCAAGAATTCACTGGGCAGATGACTGGGGGCTTCAGGAGGGCATCTGCCACAGGACCGAGGTTTCATGTTGTGTTTAAGGGTACTGCACATTTTATTGCAGTTTTGAGCTTCAAAATAGGAGCTGCAGCGCACCCTGCTCCTCCACAGGGAGTGGCTCTTGGCGTGGCCTTCTTCCCACCCACCTCTCACCCCAGGAGTAAATATAAATGAAAAGTAAAAGAAAAAGGCAGGCTTCATATTCTGGATGGATATTTATTTGCTTAACAGGTTGGTTTTTTTTTTTTTTAATTTTTTCTTTTTTGGTACAAAGCATCCAGGAAAGCTTTTACTTCTCTTTTTAAAAAATAAAAACTAAGTTTTTTTTTAAAAAAAGACACATGAAAAGGAAAAAAAAAGTCAATTATTTGCAATTTCTCTGTTTTTAGTCTGCCTTCCCACCCCACCCACTTCCCTTCCCCCCTCCCTAATTTGGACTGATTTTCATTCTTTTCCATATATATTTAATAAAATAAATAAAGGATTTTCTTTGTTGTGTATTGCAGTGCCATTTTTTTAAACAAAGGCTTCATGGCTCAACATTGCAAGGTAATAACAAACAAAAGGACTATACATTAAAATCCTCCCCCTCTCAAGACTCCCCTAGCCCTCCCCTCCAAACCACGAAATAGAATACAATTCAAGTAGTCTTTTTTTTTTTTATGTTTTAAATGTATGGATATATAAGACAAAGCAAGTACAGAACTGGTTAACAGAGTGTCCCCATTTTATTAGCAAGTGAGAGTATATTAGGGAGATGTAATTGATTCCCCCCCCTTTTACGGTTTCTAGACAGATAATATATATTATTTTAAACCCAACCTATTTTACAGCCCTCTGCCCACCTCTCAAACCCATCCGCTCACCGAGTCCCGAGGCTCAAGCCAGAGACTGGCCTTTGCCCCATCCCCTGCAGCAGCCCCAGCCCTGCGGCCACCCCGGCACAGGTGCAGCCCTTCCTCCTGCGGGAGGAGGGCAGGGACACAAGGGGCCGGCGAGAAGGGCGCAAAGGGCAAGAGAAGGAGAAGGAGATGGCAGGGCGTGGAACTGCTGCTTCTGCAGGGGCTGGGTGTGAGGGCAGCCTGCCCGCCTGCTCGCTGGACCATCGGCACTCCAGCAAGATTCCCCTCGGCTCGGGAAGCCAAGCTCCAGGGGATCCAGGGGGTCTCCATGGCCAGGGGGTCTGTGCAGAAGCAGGGCCTTGAGTTCTAACTGGCAACACCTTCACCGTTCAAAACAGTTTGTCTCCAGAACAGTTCCCTTTCAGTCTAAGTTGCGGTGGTTGTGTTGTTTTTGTTTTTTTTTAAACAAACAAAAAAAAAGGATGCGTGTCGATGTATTCTGTGTGTGCGTGCATCTGTGTACATGAGTAACAGCCAACTAGCTCATATGGTCATGACCAAGCTATATTTCAGAAGAGAAAAGAAACACATTTATCACACTTTTCCTAAAACGAAAAGCTAAAATTTCAAGTTCAGTATTCGCTATCTTGTCCTTCCCTCCCCACCCTCCCTTGCTATTTCTGGGTTTTTTCCCTTCCAACTTACTTTAGCACCATAACACATTTTAAACATTACAATCCCTCTTCAGATACTACACAAAATGTCCCATAAAAATAGTGCTTTTTTGCCAAAAAAGTTATATAATATATTATATATATAAATCAACTAAATCCGTGGCAAATGTGCAATGCAGACGCCTCCTCCATTTAAAGTGAGCATCAGCTCACTTTTTTTCTTTTTTTCTTCTTTCCCCTTTCCTTTTCCTTCTCTCTTTCTTGCTTTCTCTCTCCTCTTCCTCTCTTTCTCCCGTCATCGGTGATTTCAAAAAAGGTGCAAGTCGATTTGGAATCTTGTAATGAAGCACACACACAAAAACGCAGATGGGGGCTCCTCGGAACTTCTTCTCAGGTACGTTTTTCTTTTAAAGGTGCAAAAGAAAGTTATAAAAATAAGAAAAACCAAAAGAAAAAAAAAAAAGAAGAAAAAAAGTGGGGTGGGAATGAGGCAAAAAATTTTTATCCCTCAATGTTTCTCCCCGTTCTATTGTTTTTTTCACTTTATTGTCAAGAAAGACACGGAATGGACGCTTCTCGAGAAAAAAAAAAGATTAAAAAAAGGATTTAACTTCATATCCTTTTTTCCTCTTGCTCTTTCTTTTGTCTTCTGGCATTGGCACTGGGGATGTCACGCAGCACCCAGCAGCAAAAAGTTCAAGTGCCAGACTGTCCCTTCGCAAGTACAGGTTTGGAAATACCGGGGGCGCGGGGAAACGAAACAGGTGTGGGAAATGAAACAACCCTCCCCCCCACCCCAAAAGGAAGATGCCGTGGGAGCGGTGCTACTCGCCACCGCCATCCCCTCCTTGCTGTGTCAGTTGTTTGGTTGGGGCCGGAGCGGCGTGAGGGTGCCCCGCCGCCCTGCTCCTCGGCTCAGCGGCCCTGGGGACGGAGGGGCTCGGGGGTCGGGAATCGCCAGTCCTCCCGCCCTCCCCCAGGAGATCAAAAATCGAGACAGCTGGTCAGGGTTCATTTCTGGGGGCCAGCCGTTTCCGGGGAGGCTCGCGCCGCTGGGGGCCTCTGGCTGGGCAGGGAGATGAGGGGACGGTGCAGCGCCTTGGCTTCCTCGGCCGCCTGCAGCCCCTCCACCTGCCACCGGTACCGGCGAGCCCGCAGGATGTTGGGCGCGTCCCGCTGCCGCCGCTGGGAGCTCTTCTTCTGCCACACGTCGTACTTGGAGTACTTGCCGTGCGAGGGCTTCTGGAAGCTCTCCTGCAAGGAAAGAGATAGCGGTATTAGCCTCCACTCAAGCCTGCCCGCTCTCCAGATGGGGATTCCCTTCTTGGACCTCCGTCCCTCCCATGGAAATATTGCTTCATCCCTGGAAACAGTCACAGAGAGGTTGGACAGGGCTCTGAGCAACCTGATCCAGTAGATGCTTATTGCAGGGCGGTTGCACTAGATGACCTTTAAAGGTCACTTCCAACCCAAACCATGCTATGACTCTGTGACTCAGCCCACCTCTGGTTCCCCACCTTACTAAGAGCTGACTTTTGGCAGGCTATTTGGCACGACTTGCCAGTGGTGGCTGTTTCTCAAAAGCTCTGCAGAAACATCAGACCCTGCAGCAGGGGTTTGTTCTCTCCACCCATGGACTTCCCATCTTTTCTCTGTTTATTTCAGAGGAGGGCCACCATCCCTGCACAGCCTCCTCACCTTGCTGAGTGCTGGCAGGCCCGCCAGGGAGGTGGCAGAGAGGTCACGCTCCGACTTGACGGATTTGGCGCAGTACGTCTCCAGCAGAGCCAGGTCACAGCTCCGAAAGCAGCACTCCTCCACGATCCCCCGGTTGAACCGCCGGTTATTTCGTCCCACCGGTCTACCTGCAACAGCAGAGAGCCTGGCATTAGCCACCAACCTGGGCTGGACCCTCTCCCCAGTTCTTTGTAGGCATCCCTCCACCACCAGCCACCAGAGACTGATGGGCTCCACATCCTTCAAACACAGCAGCGCTTCTCCCAGACCAGCTGACGCACGCCCGCAAACCAGCCAAGTCTCACGTTAAGACTTTCCCAGACAAATGCTACTGATGCCAACACGTGCCTCCAGCAGCAGTTTAAAGGCACTTTAAATGAGGGGGGTTTATCTCCCTCCTCTATCTCTGGCACAGGTGGCCTTCTTGGGCCCAGCTGAGGTCAGGAAGCTCAAGCCCAGCCTGACCGCCAGCGCTGTGCCAGTTACTGCGATCTTCTCCGATGCTGATCCTGGCAAGCAAATTTTATTAGAAAGAAGCAGCACAGCATTGTGGCTGCCAACCTCCCTCCGCTGGATCAACACTCAGGCAGGTGAAGCGAACCAAGGCGGCTAAATTTTACCAGATGGGACAGCTCTGAGACAGCTGCAGAAAGAATACAGGCTTCCACACCCGCCAAGAATAGCTATTAAACTTAATCTTTTAATAAGGGTTCCTCTCCCATTTCTGCCTGCGGAAGGATGCAAAAGCCCATGTCTAGTGCAGCAATGACCAAGTGCATTTCATATCAATGCTTAATGATGGCCAAACTGCTCCAGAGGAAAAGCTTACATCAGTTTTACCATATTTCCTCCCCCTGTCAAAATAAAAGAGATGGGTAAAGTTGAATTTCTGATGCAAAGCAAGTTTGCTTGGGAATTGTGCCTTCCAGAATGTAAACTGGCCCAAAACAAAAGGATTTTCTCCATGCTTTTGCACGTAGCATGTTATGCTCTTGTGCTGTTGTGGGGCTCTGCACACTGCCACGAGCACCTTTTCCCAGTGCAAGGTGCTCCAAGGGGGGTAAGCAGAGGCCAGCAACAGTAGGGCTTGCAAACAGGATCCAGTACCACATCTCAGCCAGGAGATTTTGGGCATAGGGAGAACTGAGAGCGAGTGATGTAAGCGCAATGCCTAGCACTGCTCACTGTGGCATGCTGAGCCCTCACCTCCCAGCTGGCCTGCAGGAACACACATCATTATCCACACCAGCCCTGTGTATGACACATGATCCACACCCCTCACACTCCTGATGAAGCAGGCACTCAAGTCTTAGGCCTTGGCGAAGACCTAAGGCTAGCTTACATGGAGCTGACCACATTCCCTGGAGGGTGTCCCACCCTGGATGCCCACCCAAACTGCCTCGGGACAAAGGCTGTAAAGCACAGTTCTCTATGCATACAGTGCAAACCCACATGTGAGAAGCAGCTCCAGACGTGCAACACAGATGTGCTTGTGGGATGGGGTTTTGTGCATTCAGTGCAGCCCCACATGTGCAATGCAGACATGCATATTCAATACAGTTCATGCACAACAAAGCCCGATGTGCACAATGCTGGCATGCAAAACACCTTGCTGCTGCCTCTGTAATAACCTGACAGCAGAGCACCTGTTCTCTGTTAAAATCAATCATGTTCCCATAGGCCAGAAGCCCTCTGGTCCATGCTGGTGCATTTCCACCATGCTCAGAGGTCACACAAACAAACACAGCATCAGTGTGCTGGTTGATGGGGCAGCTGACCCATACCATGAGACCTGCCTGTGGGAGTCATTCCAAATGCTTTGTTGTCCATGTTCATCCCCCTTGTGCCACCACCTTCCTTTTCTTTTTCTCTAGAAGAACTTCAGGCATGACCTTTAACCAGCCCCACATGGAGATGACAAGATTGGCTCACCCTTGGCAAAGATTCATTGAAGGGATCACTTTTAGGAGTTTAATTTTCTCTCTTGTGGTCAATAAATACTGGATTGGGTCCTCCCTTGAAAAGTAGGGCAGATGTGTGGGGTGCCCACAGCTCAAGTGATGCCAGAGTAGGCAGTCTGGGTGGTGATGGCCAATGGAGAAAGGGACAGGAGCCAGCTTAGGGACAGCTGCACGTTTTCTTCTCTGTGCATGCGATACCTAGTGAGATACATGGGAGAGGTGCACTCCAGCAACACCCCACACCACCCTTGGCCCCTGCTTAGGTCCTATCAATTCCAGTGCCCAGCTCAATCCATGGCAGGCGGCTGAAGCATTAAAGCTGCTCCACAAAGGCATCCTGATATGGGCAGAAGGAGAGTTCAGAAGGGAAAGAGAAAAAATTAAAGTCACCCCCTCTTGCTAGCACATTCCCTAAGGGCTACATTCACACTCCCGCTGAACAGAAGGTTGCACAAGTGATGACACACATGGTTTGAGGAGAAGTTGAGGTTTTCGAAGGTTACATATCTTCTCTCAAAAACAGAAGTTTCCCACTTTCAGTTATGTGTTTGTTTGGAAAGAAGAGGGGAGGAGAAAAACAGTAAGGGAAGCGGGATTATATTCACCGCTCCACCTTCAAGGGCAATTTCTGGTGTAGGTACACACGGGAAGATCATGACAGCGTGTGTTTGCAAATGCCCAGGTGTGCCACCACCAGGGTGAGCTCCCAGCAGGGACCACCACAGTGACGAAGCCTCTTCCTCCCGATTGCTGCCCCTGCCTGCAGCTCCAATGTGCTACCCTTTCTCTCCTGCACAAAGCTGCTGCAAGCCGCTCCCCTTGCCGGCACCACTGCCAGCTCCACCGTGACTCTCCGATAGGGCACGTTTCCATTACATAATTGTCCGTGTGGACCTTGCCAAATGCCACTACAATCCTCCGGGGGAGAGTTACTTTAGGAAAAAAAATAAGCAAACATAACAAACAGGGATTTAGTCTCAGAAAGTACCTGGAGACAACAGGACATTGCTGGCTAACAGCAATATTGCTGCTGACCTGGATTGGGAAGAGCGCTTGTTCTGTAACACAATTTACACAGGGACTAAAGGTTGAATTTCCTGGCTTTTGCCCATGGGTGGCATCTCACTGTACCACCACTGCCAAACCCAGGGAGGGTTTTGCCACTCTGTCTCTTGCCTGCAAGGGAGAACTGTGTGGGCAGCAGGCTGCGGCATCGCTGGGGCACGCGAACCACTTCCCATCACAGCAACGACCTCCTCCTGCTGAGGAAATGCGCTTCCTCTCGGCCTTCAATGAATGGCTAGGCTCCCTTTTTCCCAAAACAGTGCTTTGCCGAAACCTTCTACAGCACTGCTGAGGGGACAAGCCCTGAGATGCAAAGTCCTGTGATGCAAAGCCTGGCAGTGTGAAGCCCGCCAGCTGCCTGGGGTTATTCCTGCCTAGGTACAGGCTCTCTTGACAGGGCATCCCAGAAGTGGCACAAAGCCAAACCCATTCCTGGGAAAACCCAGAGGCCATGTACCTGCAGCTCAGCTACGCCAGAGGAGGCACAGCGCCCGCTGCCATGGGGAACAGGAGGGTCCCTTCCCTAGCATGAGCACCCCACTGCTCCGGGCTCCCCACCCTCACCGGGGTCGCACAGATGCTGCGGGGAGGGGTGCACGGCGCTGGTGCCACCCTGGCTGGGTCCCCTCTCCTCCGGTCAATCAGGCGGTCAGCCGAGTGGAAGGGGACTTTGGGTGTAAACAGTCCCCGTGCCCCTGTCGCAGGAATGTTGGGAGCAACAAGGGGGCCTTTGTGCAGCACCAGGCCCCGTCCCAGTGCCCCCGGCCTGGCCCTCCCCCACCCCGGCTCCGCACTTTCCCCCCTGCTTTTTCCTAGTATTATTCGGAGGAGCGGCGGGTGCGCAAGAATGTGCCCCGTCAGCACAAGCGGCTGCAAAGAGCTAAATTCTTATCAGCTGTTGGAAAGGAGGAAACAGGAGCTGTTGTTTACAGAGAAGTCGGCCGCCTCTCCCCCTGCAGCCCCTTCTCCCTCCCTGCCAGCGCTTCATGACAGCAACTTCAGGGCTGAGGCTTCCTCTGGACCTGCCCTGCTTTTCACTCCAGGCTGGACTCAGCATCCCTCTGCGGGCTGTGCCGCTGTCCCCGGGTGGGTGCTGGGGTGCAGGGGTACCAACCCTGCCACAGTGCCGTGGCAGGAAGCCACCACCTTGACAGCAGCTGCCAGCTGAGCCAAAAGACTTAAAGGCACAGAGAGGAAGCATCACCAGCGCAGAGCAAAGTGTGCTCAGATTCAGCTCTAGCTTGCCCATGCATGCCTGGGATAGATACAGAGCTGGCATCACCATGTCCACCATGTCCCACGGCTAGGTAACCTCAGTGCTGCCGGCCCTGCCCCTGTTAGTGCAGCTTTCTGCAGCCCCAGCTGCAGCTTTCTGCAGCCCCAGCTCCTGAAGGCAGCCTCAGCATTCTCAGCCCCAAGCACCTGCCAGCCATGGTGCCTCCCAGGCATCCATGCGTGCATCCCCCTTGCACTGATGCAAAGATCACTGTATTTCACAGCCAGCTTCGCTAGCAAAGTGCTCTCTTGCAAGAATGCAGAGCATCACAAGTTCTTAAATAATTGCTTCAGCAAAAAAAAAAAAGCAATAGAGGATTTTCATACCATTTTTGGTTTTTTCCAATATTACCAGCCTGTCCAGCAAGCGGACCCTCAGGTACGCACAGGACGAGGCTCCCCAAGTCATTCCTTTCCTGTGTGAACAGCTGCTTTAGCACAGGTTGCTCATCAGGTCACACATCCCAAGCTCTGAGATGCTCTATACAAACCCAGGCCCGGTTTTAAGATGTAAACCCACGATGGTGCAACACAATTGTGCCCTGGTGACAATAGTGTGGTTTAGGAGTGAAAATTAACAGGGTTAGAAATAACCACTAATGAGGCCAACTGATGGAGGTAGAGAGGGAAAAATTAAGTGAAATGGGGATGTCCAAAACCTTCATCAAGTAGAGGCATTGCCCAAACATCTTCAGCCCTGCATGGCACAGGCTGGTCAGATCCTGAAAGGGCTAAAATATTGGACTGGGTTTCACCCCCAGTACCTGGTCTCACCAGAAATATTCAAAAAGGTGAACACTGGAGAGGACAAAAAGAAATTAAGAACCTCCTTGCAAGCACCCAACTGGCCACTTGGCACCAAGAGATTTTTCTGCCTTCAAAAGTGTTTTTATTGTGGCCTGGGCAGCTGGGTTATTTGAGGTGAAAGGAGGTCAGTTTGACCTTAAAACCAAAGCCCCATTCCCTTTCATCCCCAGAGAGAGGCAGGAGGGAAGAGAAAGCAGGGAGGGAGAGAGACGCTCCTCTACATATAGAGGGAGAGGAAGAGCTGTGAGAGCAGGAGAGGCACTTGTCTCCTTGCCATGCTGGTAAGGGAAGGGGAGATGAAGAGAGGAAGGGCAGTTGCCACACAAACCCTCACTGCTTGGCTCCATCACAGCAAGGAAGTGCACCCAGAGCACCCCAAAAGCACTGCCTGCCCACACCACCCAAGGAGCCGTAAGAAGATCCCGCTGCTCAGCCGGGATGGGGCAGGGGGATTGCCCCCAGAGGGCTGCAAAGCCACCTGCAGCCTGACCAACTGCCCAAAACTGAACCTGAAACCCTTCCCAACCTGAACCCTGCTGTGCCTGGGTGTGGGATCCCTGCGCCTCTCTCTACTCAACATCAGCAGGCAGCAGGAGACAAGTCTAGTAAAGCGTCCAGGTTGGGAAGGGACATCCAGGTTGGAGAAGGACATCCAAAATCATTCCCTGCACAATCAGACTGTAACAAGAGGGAGGCTGGCTCTCAACCCTACTCCTCCGAAAAACCACCCTGTTTACTTGAAAGTGACTTCTAAATTCCTTTTCCCAAGGCAGAGACAAGACTGCCAAAAGCACCACGTGCATCTGGTATCTCCATCCTCTTCCCCTCCATTTGGCTTTGCATCTTTCCTGTAGTCAGTCACCCTGTGGTTTAGTCCTAAGTGGGGAGCAAGACACAGTGTCTTCCCACTCCCAAGCAGAGCAGGGCACCGAAATACCAAAACAAGGTTTTCACACTCGAGGCACCTTTGCCCATAGATTACTGAGCATCCATTGTCACTGGTTTACTCCTCATCCTCCCTGTTTACCAGCTAATCCATTGTACTACCAATGGTCCAAAGACCCAAAGCACCCTGGTGGAAAGCCCGCTGCAGTCAGCTGGTCTGAAGCCATCTACACGCTGCACACAACAGCTGTGCTGCATTTTTTTGCATTAGCTGCCCTGCATAGGTGTAAGACATCACTCTTCAGCAACAACTTCACCAGTGGTAGCTGGGAGGCCACAAAGCTTTGTTACAAAGTTTTGGGAACAGCCTAGAATGTACTGCTATACCCAAACAAAGCCTACCCGAGAGGGGAGAGTGCTCAGCTTCCTGCCTGCTGTCAGGATGCAATGCTTAGGCAGCAAAGTTTCAAAATAAACCAGGACCCAAGCTCAGCAGAGCACTGGCTGCAGACATCCTCGATATTGTAATGACTTGCCCGTATCTCACTAGGGAACCAGCCACATACGGCTCCCCAGAGACTATCCCGAGCATCGTATGCGGGACCCAGCTTCCCCATGGTACCACACAGTCCCCAAAACCATGTCACGCTGAGCATGTCCATTTTCTTGCTCCTCTCCAGGAAATCAGGAAAAGCATCAGGCTGGGAAAGCCTTCCTTGCCCTCCCGGCCTGGCTCTGCTGAGGCAAGGTGCGGGGTGGGGGCAGGTGCCCAGCACTTACTGAAGTAGAAGCCCCTGTCCCCGCAGACGAACTGCAGCGTGTCCACCAGCTCCCCGCCGCACAGGGTCTCCGCCGTGCCGTAGGCGGCGGCCGAGTCCATTGCGTAGGCCAGGAAAGCCAGGAGCAGCAGCAGCATCCGCCTGGCCGCGCACATCCTCTGCACCTGCGGACAGAGGCACAGCGTTAGCACCGCGGGACAGACCCCTCCGCCACCTCCCCGGCCCTGCCCCCGCCCGCAGCGCGCCGCCGAGGTGATGCCCAGCCCTGTCGGGATGCTGCTGCTGCTGCAGGGAAGGAAGGAAGGAGCGGCAGCGCTGCGACAGCCGCTGGGATGAGCCCGGCTCCCTGCGCTCGGCCCGCCGGGCAGCAGCTCTGGGCACACAAGGTGTGCATTGGAGCGCTTTTTCCATTGGAAAATCCCACTTCAGCCTATCTCTTAAAGGTTTTTATTTCCTCTGCTCTTTCGACAGTGTGATTTTTTTTTTTCCCCTTTTAAAAGGGAATTCATTCAAATACTATCAGTAGGTTGTTTGGTTTTTTTCTCTTCTGATGACAAGTTTTTGTGTCCTGTCTGAAAACATGTCCATGCAAAGCGAAATCAAGTGAAGCTTTGACCTGTCCTAGAGCTGCTTTTGAGGAAAGCTGGGAAGAAGAGCTTTTATCCCCAGCATGAGAGAGATGAAGCTCAGGCAATCAAGAGGCTGATTGCACAAGCTGTGTTTGCTGACAAGAAGAGAAGACATCCCTCAGGAATAATATGGTCCCATGGGAAACACACCTGAGGCATCACTGGGGAGAGTAAAGGCAGTGTCAGACAGTGCAAAGCATTAAAAAAGAAGCTCCCTGGATATTTGCTAACGAACCCAAAGACTCAGCTCCAGCAAACAGCTTTACCTCCGTGTCAACCTCTGCAGGTGTAAAGCAAGAGTGCTATTGCCCCACTGGATGGGGCAAAACCCATGAATGGCTCAAGGCATAATAGTCCCTCAGTGATGAGCCTCACAGTTCACATACAGCCAAATAACACTGGGTTTTGACCAGACAGGTAAGCTCAAAATGAAGAGATGTACATCAAAATAGCAGACGGTGGGTGCCAACCCTAATCTCAAGCAGAGCATCCTCTCTCCTTGCTAATATTCAACCAAGACACTAGGTCTCACATCCACCTTTCATCACCATAGCATCTGAGCAACTCGAGAATAATATCAGTTAATGAATATTACCTCACCCCCCCGGGATGCTCGGAGATGGAGCTGAAGCCCAGGATAGATTAAATGACTCACCCAAGGTCACAGGGGAAGTCTGCAGCACAGCCAGGAAATTAGCCCAGGTCCCCCGAGGCCCCACTATGGTCCTGCCAGCAATAAAGACACCCTTGCTCCCGAATTTTTAGTAGCACGTAGCTCAAATTGTCATCGCTATAAATGCATCATGCTTGCAAATCATGAGCTCTACTGAGCAGCGGGAGGACAGGGATCAGCAGCAGGAAAAGCCAAAACAGAGGTTTCAAGGTCTGGGTGGGCTGTGGGGGACGTTCCTCCAGCTTAAGTTTTGATGGCCATAGCATTGCTCAGCCTGTGCTGATTGAGATCAGCACTGGCAGAAACCCTCCAAAGCTCTGGACAAGAGAGGCAGCAGCCCTGGGAACAAGCTGGTCTCAAATCAGCAAGTGATGGGACCAGGACCAGGTTTTCCAGTCACAATGGTCCCTTCAGCACACTGCAGGGACTTTGTTCTGTGTAACAGTAGGAGCAGAGGGATGGCACCAGGCTCTGACACCATGCTGCCAAGCTGCAGTGTTTTACCACCAGCACCTTTTCACCTCGGTTTTTTTATCAAGTGGCCCACAGTTGTTTATTGGGCCTCTCCAACATGAACACAGCATCACTTTCACTGCTGGAGTCATGCCCCTGGTGCTGCAGCGTCAGGAACCAGATTTCCACCTGACAACAGACCAACCACCCTCCTGTCCCTTTTTCAGCCCCTTTTTTACATGCAGATCCCAATTGCTGGTGTCCCCAGCTCTCAGGTAGTGCCAACACTCATTGCCGGGGTGACAGATCTGCCACCAGCCAGTGCTGCCATCAAAGGCATCATATGGGACTTCAGGACACCCACATGATCCCATGCCCCCAGTTAGGCTCATGCTGGCTGTGGGCACTGTGGCTAATGAGCAGGCTGCATGCTGGCCTCCCCAAGCCAGAGCCAGACCCGACACGAAGGAGTTGATTGGTGGCACAGGTGACAAATACCATTTTTCCTCCACATTCAGTCTGAAGTAAAGGGTGAGATGCTCTGAAGCAAGGGGAAAGAGATTTTGTCAGCAGGTGATATTTGATGCTGGGGAGACCTGATACCTTCTGTGGAAAAACACTTGTGCTCCTCAGAAAATACCTGCACAAGTCACACTGCAAGCCCCTGGCAGCCTTCCCTGCCTCCACTACAAGCTCTTTCCAGGTGCCCACACACCCCTTAACTCCAGCCAGGAAATGCCCCTGAAGCAGCAGCAAAAGGAAGAGCCCCAGGGCTGCCATCCAGAGCATGGCAAACGTGGAGGTGTGAAATGCAACTAAGTCCACCTTTGGCCACGCACCATCCACCAGCCCTTCCCTCTGCTGTCACCTTGGAATCTCCCTGCTCCTTCCAGTACCTGTGTAATGAGAAACCAGGCGGCAAGGCAAAGAGCATCTTTATTTACTACCCTGTGCTGCAGTTTCTCTCCAGCTTGATGGAGCTGCAGCCCAACTCAACCCCATAAACCCTTCCCTCTCCCTTTGGCCCTACTGACTTTGCAAATAAAAAGCCCCCAGACTTCCCACAAAGGCTATAGAATCTCCCAGGGTGCCATCACTGGCTCAACATGTCCCAGTAATCTTTCAATTGATCCTTCACTCCCTCACAAGCAGGGATGAGCAGACCGATGCAGGAAAGCTTGCACCCGCCTTGCCATGGCTGCCAGAGCTGTTGTAGCCAAAAAAGGGTGTCATGGCACAGCTGGGTACCTGCAGCCCACCACCTGGTTGGTGCAAGCATCATGCCAGCTGCATTGGTGGCAGGAACTGAATGGCTACTCAGCATGATGAGTCTAAGCCCTGTGAATACCTCCAAGACTTCATTCTCCACTGGAAACGTGAGACAGCACAGCTTTCGGTTTCTAGTCCCACACATCAGAATAGGCATGGTCTCCTCAGCTGTTGAACAGGAGCAAATTCACACCAATGGTTGGAAGAACCTTCATGTTTTATTAGAAAGCCTCTCTTAAATGAAATAGAACAGGAATAAGGCAGCACAAGGGAAGTGGGACACTTCCCTAAAGGATAATGTCCTATCTCTGCTAGAAGAGAGGCTACAGCTACTACTGTCCCATTCTTGCCAAAGCAGGTTCAACCAGCCATGCTGACTGCTATTGCTCCTCATGTGCCCAGGCAGAGCTCAAAGGCTTTAGGATGAAGTGGGATGGCAATAGATGTGCCAGATACCCAACAACCTGAGCACCAAATTCCTCCTGAAGAGGGCTTGGACCCCACACAGTGTGCAAGGGGATGATGCAGGAGGAATCTCTTGGTTGCACAGGTGACCTGTACCATCCTGGGAATCACACCTGAAGCTCCTCTGAGTAACTCACATCTGAAACAGCATGATCAGTGCAGAAAGGCTCAGACAAGGTATCAGCACACACTGCTGGCCTCTCTCTCCCTGGAGAGGGTCTGCTTTGCTCTCCATCCTTCATGCCCCTCTCATGCCTTTCCTGGCATCCCCAGCACCACACACAAATCCAGGCTGCCACTGGAACCAATTCAGCTGCAGGCTGCCATGTGCAGGATGTTCCTATCTTGGAACTCCTGTGTATTCCTGCCTTGTGGCACATGTCACTGCACCCATGGCCAGGGACCCCCAAACACCTCTTGGCAGCCCTTAGCCAGTAGAGAGGTCCAGCAGAGAGGGTTCTCTGAGTGGCCGTGGTGTGCTAGGAGTGAGCCCAAGGGCAGGTCTGCAGTGCAGTCACCCTCCCACCCGAGACTGTTAAAGGATTTTTTCAGGATCTGCTGCTGAATCAGCTGGATCGACAGTTTCTGTCCAGCTGCTGGGGAGTCAGGAGCCAAGAGGCCACAATGTGCTAAAAGGCCCAGTTGCCAAGTCTCAGAGTACAGCTCAGCCATCCCTTGCATCCAGGCTTGTGCTGAGCAAACCAAACCATGATGCCTCTTGGGCAACAAATATCTCCCCAAAAACAGAGACAAAACCTCCTGTCTGACCTAATTCCTTCTTCAGTCTGGCCTTCATTGCAATTTAATATGAACAGAACAACGTAGGAGGGAATTGACAGATGGTCCAGTCTGTAAAATTTGGATTTGGACAGCAAAAAGAAAAAAAAAATCTTGCTTCTTTGTGGAGCAGTGCAATATTTAAAAGGGAGCATGGTAAAAGGAAAAGTCATCAGCCCAAACCCAGTGGCACATGTCAGAGGGGAAAACCCCAGTTTACACCCCCCAGCATCCCTCATACTCCACCCCTTAAAAATAAAAAAAAGGGCAGACTGGTGTTTCACTACTCTGATGATTGCCTGTGAGAGATGTTGAACATCTGCCTCTCTGCATTATTCCTCTCCATGGACAGCCCCAGGAGAGTGGGGAGCTGACCCGGTTCTGAGCGTGGCAATCCCAAAGGAGCAGGATGTGGGCATGTGCCAACCTCTCAAGCGCCAAGTGAATGCTGCCCCTGCCCACGGGGCAGCCCAACCTCGCACAGGGCGCTGGGCACGATGCCCCAAAGTGCCAAGGAGCAAAGGCATAATGGAAGCCAGTGGGAGAGGCAGGTGCCTTGGCAGCTGAAAACCAGCCAGGAACCGCACCTTGGGCAGAGGCACAGCAGTACCTGAAGGCAGAGGAATCACCTCATGCTGTGCCACAGAAGAGCCTCTCTTTTGATCTGAAAGAGAAAGGGAATTTCCAACCACCCACAGCTTGGAAGAAGCAAGTTTCAAAACACAAAACGTTTGACCACTGAGTTGTCAGGCAAATAAAAACTACTCAGGAGGACCAGGGGTTTTGTTATTTAGCTCAGGCTTTAAAAAAATAAAATACCTTCTGATTCTTGGCACCTGGCTTGCATGACATTCATATGGCTGAGGCTGGCAATACTACTGCTATTTTTAGTCCTCACTTTTTTTTGTTCACTGCTCGTCCCCATCAGCAGCCCACTCTGCCTCACACTGAGGCGGGGGGTCACCTTTCTGCCTTCCATCCCGTGAGCCCGGAGAGGTGCCTGCCTCCTTTGCCTGTGGGACAGGGGCCAGGGCAGGCAGGGAAGTGCTGCCTGCACCCCATGTCTGTATATGCAGCAGGAGAACTACTGTGCCTGTGGAAAAGTCAAGCTGAAAAAGGTGAATGGGGTATTCAGTACCATTTACTCACCCCACTGGGGAGCAAGAGTGTATTGCATAAATTTTGGTATGCAGCCCAGAAATATTTGATTTATTGTATTAAAAAAAAAAAAAAAAAAAAAAAAGGAAATGTATTCTTGCTTAACTCTTCTAAAGACAGCTGGCAGGACCCAGTGAAGGGATTTAAGTCTCTTTTAGTAGCCTCACTTAACTCCTTTCTTTATTGTTCCTCTCTCCTTTCTGCATTCCCTTCCAAAACCTGGAGTATATCAGGGAAAGTTAACAGCAAGTTAAGCTGTTAAATCAGGAACTGTGGTGACTGGAGTCTACTGGCAAATGATATTCCCACAACACGTTGAACTTGCTTTATGTCTTGGCAGAGCAACTTTAACCCCTTCGGAGCCGGGCTGTAACGCCAAGGCAGACTTCCTCCCCTGGTGCCCCCCACCTCTCCTGACCCCTCACACAACCATGCCGAGGGAGGCCGATATCGCTTTCCCTGCTAAGACACTCATCAGCTTTTAAAAGCAAAGACAATCCAAAGAAGGATCGGAGAGGTCAGCCCCAGGACACGAGCTGGGAGAGGGTGGACCACTTACAGCGCTCGTATGCACTGCTGGAAACACACCAACTCCTCGGTCCCTCTAAAAATAAGACCTCACCTGCTGTGTTTGCTTTATTTAAAAAAAGAAAAGTACAGAAATGCTTTTCTCTGGCGCTCCGTGAGACAAGCTGGACTCGTGCTGAAGCCTATAGGAATCAAGGGGAAGACACACACTGATAACTCCGGGTTGACTGGTCAGAGCAGCAGCCCTCCAGCCAGGCTGAAAAAAAGATCACCTGTCAGAAAGAGCGCTGGGACACACACGCAGACACATTTTGGCTCTCAAATTTCATGCAGCGGTGGGAGGGGACCTGCGGTGTTAAATCTTTTATCCCTTAATGATTTTTCACAGGAGCTGGGATAGCCCCTTTGAAAGGCTGAGTGAACTTGTGTGGGTGTCAACAACACGGAACAAGATTTACAGCTCTGACCCATTCACCCCCACCAAAATTGTCAAGTTGGGTCCAAAACAGCACAGTGGAAGTCAAATCAGAAGTGTCAGTCAGTTTTATACCTCCAGATGTCCTTAGCACAAAGTCATCCTTAACAAAACCCCACGACCCAGGCTCCTCAACTCCACTCTAAATCAAGGCAAGAGGAGGAATAAAAATCCCAACGCATTGAGCCCTGCAAAGTAAAAGAAAAAAAAAAAAAAGCCTCCCACATACACACACAATCTGACAATAAACAAACCCAAAGAAAAACATGCCTCAGTCTTCCAAGCACATCCCAGCATTTGGAAGGAAACTACTGATTTTGTATAGGAAGCCTGGGTTGAAAGCAGAGGCTCTCCCGAGGTGTCTGTTTAAAACCACCCACACAAACCTTGTTTTTACACTTGATTGCTCCACACCACCCTAGTGAGACCTGGCGTATCAGCAACCCTGCTGAAGTACCCTTGGCTGGAGGGGAGGCAGCCACATCTGCTGGTACAGTTACGCTAAATCCGAGTTCCCTCATGTGCCCCAATTCCCTACTGCTCAACAGAGTGCTAAAACCTTTCCAAGTTGCGCTCTTAAAACAATTACTGTAGGGAAAAGCAACTGGGAAGGAAGAAGAAGAAAAAAAAAAATTAAAAAATCACAGAAAGTCGAAGGCTGCACGCCAACCATTAACTCTCACTCCATTTTGGCTTCGCTTTCTTGTTTTTCCTCTCAGTATTTTTATCCCTCCCGAGACCAAACACACCGCAGTGTTTTGCAGAAGAGAGTTTAATAATCTCCCCGCTCTCCGGAGCCGGAGAACCGCCGGTCGCCTCGCCGCGCGTCTCCGCGCTCCCGCAGCCGCCCCGCGCGGAGGGAGCGCCGCGGGCAGCCGGGGGCCGCTCGGCCCTGCGTGACCTCGCATAGCCCCGGCCCGGCCCCCGCACGGCCGCGGCTCCCCACGCGGGACCGCGCCGGCAGCATCCCCGCGGGCAGCATCCCCGCGGGCAGCATCCCCGCGGGCAGCATCCCCGCCGGGGCCGCGGGCGGCGGGAGGGACCCCGGGGATGCCCCGCGCACCCCACCGCAGCGGGGCCGCCCCGCCGGCCGCGGCTGGGCCGGCGCTCGGGGTCCCTCTAGTGACACGCGTGGGGACGGCGCGGCTCGGGATGGCTCGGGATGGCTCGGCGGTGCCCGGCACGGCGGCACGGCGCGGCACGGCTCTGCCCGCCGCGGCGCGGGGAATCCCACCGTGCTCTGCCCGCGGAGGGCCAGCGCGGAGCGGCGCTTACCTGGGCACTGCCGCTGCTGCTCTCAACTTCTTGCGGCGGCGGCGGGCCGGGGAGGAAGGCGGGCTGCCGGCAGCGCTCATCCGTGTGTGCCCCGGTGCTTGACATGCTGCTCTCCTGCCCTGGCAGCGATCGCGGCTTTGGCTTGCCTTCCTCGCGCCCTGGCACGTTCTCCTCGCCTTGCCTTTTTGGTATGTCAAGTCCCTGCTGGATTTTGTCGGAAGGATGTTATTTTGTTACGATCAGGTATTCTATTATTCTAGAGAAAGAGCGAGCGAGCGCTTTCTTTTCCTCTCCTTTTTCTTTTTTTTTTCTGGGTTGTTTTTCGCCTTTTTTTTTTTTTTTTTCCTTCCCTTCTCTTGCTCTCCTGCTTTAGCTGCCCCTTGAGTGGCTCTCACTTTTGTGTTTACTGAGTGCGTCTCCTTGATCGGGGCGAAGGGGCCGGCTGCCTCGCTGCCCGCTGCTACCGGCTGCTGCCCCACGAGCGAGGAGACAAGCAGGGCGCTCCGGCTTTTATACCTTTTATATCCCCCCCCTCAATGGGCATGCTCTCCCGGCGAGCACCAGCCCGGCCACGCAGCCAATAATGTTGCAGAGCGGTCTAACCCCCTCTCTTCCCTCCCTCCCTTCCTTTCTTCCCTCCTTCTCTCTCGTAACCCTCCGGAGTCCAGCTCGGAAGGGAAGAGGGGATAGAAAGTTTTTGCCGCACGGTTTCTTTGCGTGCTGCTACCCGGGATGGGAGCTTTACCCCTTCTGCCGGCCCCGGGTGGAAAGGGGGCTACGCGCATCCGCGGCCGCCCCGCAGGTGAGGGGAAGAGCTGTGGGTCCGCACCCCGAGCCCTTGCCCAAAATACCGGGTGGCACCCCTTGAGCACCTCTCGCTGCGCGGTGGCGAGCCCCGAGTCCCGGCGGGGTGGGAGAGGGGAGATCGCCCAGCCCGTCCTCCCTCGGGTCCCGTTCTAGGCGCACACCGGCACAGGTGTCGGCGCCAGCCGCCGCACGGCTCGGAGGAGCTCCCCGGCAAAGGCACGGACGGGCATTCCCGGCCGGCCGCCGCGCCCGCCCCGCCGCGGGCAGCGAGCCCCGCCTGGGCGGCAGCGAGCCCCGCGGCCACCCTGCGTGTCCGTGCGGACAACATGGACGCTGCCCCTCCGCACCGCACCGTGCACCTCGCACAGCACCTTCCCGCCGCGCCTCCCGCTTCCCGCCAGCTGCTGCAGGCGAGCACGGCTGTCTCTCAGCCAAAGGGACTTTTCCCAGGCTTTGAAAGCCGTGCGTGTGCAGCAGCGCGGGCACAACGCGCTCCCGCCGCTCTGCGCTGCTGCCGGGCGGGCACACCGGGCTTAATGGGCTCCCCGAGATCTGCCTTCCAAGTCTGGCCCGGGGAGGATCCCCGCTGGCTTTCAAAGGCAGCCCCCAGGCAGCCTCCGGTGCCCGTACCCACCGCTGCCCCTCCGCCGGGGCACGCGTACCACCAGCCTGCGCCACAGGCGCGCTCCCTTCTCGGAGCAGAGAGGAGCCGGGCTGCCTGAGACCTGAGCGGCAGGTCGGCCCGCCTCAGGTAGCGCTTGCCATAGCTAGTGGTGCGAAAGGGCAAGGATGCAGCAGGTCCTCGCCCCAGCATGCAATAAAAAACCCTGGGTTTGTTTGTTTGTTTTTCGCTTTTTTCAAGTTTGTACTTTATTTTTCCCTCCAAGGATGGGAGGTTTGCTGCATCTCTCAGTAGTCAGAATTGCCCTAAACGTGCCCAATAAGACGTGGGCGGGATTATCTTTTCTCACTAAGCTTTGGGGCATCCCTTCCTTTCCTCCCTAGCATCCTTCTGTTTGCTGTGCTGTTCTCTGGGATGTGTCGATGCACATCACACCCAGCAGTCCTGGTGTCAGGGCTGCAGGCTGCAACCGAAACATCGGCACATCTGGGAGGTGCCGAGAAAGCACATCAGACCACAGGCACCAATTCTTAGCTCTTACACTGATATTTAAACATGTAAAGAAGTGACCTGGCCGTCAACGAGACTAAGCATCTGCCGGCGTGTGCCAGGGCTATGGATTTCTCCTTACCTTGGGCTTTTGGAGTTTCTCCTAGATGGCCAGGACTTAGTAAATCCGAGCTGTGGGTCCTCGCAAACTCTCAGCAGAGGTGGTCTTAACAAAGAGCAAGCCACCTTTCCTCCCTGCAAAAGCAGAACCCCATCAAAGGGCCGGACCCAACCTTGGCAGGGGGGTCAGCGGGGCTGTAAGCTACTGTTAATAGCTGAAGGAGCCCAGCTCCCTTCCCCCAGCTCGCCACAAGGACCTCCTGAGAGTAGACAAAAGAAAGCTTGGAGGGTTAATCTCCCTGCAAGAGAAAAACAAGTGATTTTCCAGTAAACAACTGCAATAGCAAACAATGGGGGTGAAAAATAGCGATCATAAAAAAGTCGGTTTGGAGGAAGAGGCGACCCAGTAAGAGAGGTGTCCTTTGGCTGGGGGAAAAACACGGCAGCAGTTTGATGGAGATTCAGCAACAGCAGCCACAGCAAAATAAACCCCACAAGTTGCCACTGGATCTACTTGTGTTTGTGCCTTTTGATCTTTTAATTGCTTCTTAGTTATCCTTCAGTGCAAATAAATAGTGCATTGTGTCAAGAAAGAGAAGGGGGGCGGGGAAGGGAAGAAAGAGACACAAAAGAAAAAGCTGTCTCCCAGAAGAGAAAAGGAACAGGTTCTTTCCCCCCACCTTTAAAGGAGTGAATATATCTGTACTGGGGGGAGGAAGGGGATGGGATTAGAAATCAAAGCGAAATTGGAGAGAAGCACATTAAGCCTCGGGCATCCTTACAGTAGGAAGGAGAGAGTGAGGTGGTAAAACCCTCGAGGGGTTTATTCGGTGAGTTATGAGAGGATCCACGAGAGTAATATTGTTAAAGGTCAGCCGAAACCTAATTTAAAGTAGGGATGTGTGACCTCCGCCCTTCATTTAATACAGTCATAAGGAACATTACACTGCAGATAGCTGGAACAATAGCTGCCTCCACCCCAAACTCCAGCCCTTGGCATTGCCTGCGAGGAGGGCCGGCAAGGGGGAGCAGGAGAAGGACCAATAAAGCCAAGGACACAGCAAACCTGAAGACAGGGACGCAGAAAGAGAGGGATAGAAAGGCCTCCAGGGCACGGTACTGACCACCAAGGGTCTTGCAAAATCCCAGGAAGCATTTTGGTTTGAAAGTGGATGGGGCTGCACCAAAGCATCACCTGAAAACGTTGAAAATGCAGTAAAAATAAACCACAGCCTCTTGGATTTGTCTGACCTCTGCGGTCATCAGCGCAGCTCAGGAGAGAAATTACAGTTGTGGATTCCCATTAAATTTTCAAGGAACGAGGACAGTGTTTACAAAGCAAAGTCAACCGAAGTAAACTGAAACTAAGTGACGCTAAAGACGGAGCTGAAATAAAAGCAGTATCTGAAAGGTGCCCTGAAACAACCAGGGGATGTCGGGGACTCAGAGGGAAAACCTCTGCTGCTGCAGCAGCTCGGAAGCGTCGGGGCAGACTGCAAAGCCTCCTGGCGGCACTGCCCATCTGAGCTGATCAAAGCGTCTCGTGGGTGGCCACCAACACGTGGCGTTGGGCCGGAAAGCTTTCCAGGGAAAGGGGGAAAAACCGGAAAGCTTGGGCCAGCCTGGACCTCGCAGACAGGGATGTGTGCTTCTGCAAAGGCAGAGGAATGTAAATAACTGCAGAAATGCAGTGGTCCAGGGCCAGGATGGATGTTAGAGATGCTGCTAGGGAGGCGAGCCAAGCAGATACCTTCAGGGAAGGGAGCATTTACATGACTTTTCCCTTCTTCTCCCACCTAGAATCCAAAGAGAGAAAAGGTCACCTAATCCCAGCCCAACCAAGACACTCTGTGATGCTAGTTTGATTTATTTCAAAATTACAGCCCAAATGACAAGGTGGGCAGGGTGGGGATTTGCAGTAAGTGGTTCAGGTGCTGTGCCTGCAGCACTACAGAGGTACCCCTGTTTGTGTTCTCATATGGCCCCCTAAATTCTCCTATGTCAAGAGTGAGGACAGCCAGGAGAAACCAGACTGCTTTACAGACATGCTCCACAGGTCTGGGTTGAGATGTCCAAGACGAGCCAAAAGGAAGGTGAGGGAGGGCTGTGGGTCACTTCTTCACTGGAAGAAGTCATCCATAGTGAGAGTGGAGAGAGATTAGCCAGAGTCCTATATGCAGCTGTTTAGTGGCTGAGGAATAACCGTGCTTGGCCCAGGGTATCTTTCAGTGGCTTTAAGAAAGTGATACCTTTTGCTTTGTACAACCCAGGAACCTGACAATAACACCGTGTCCTTGCATGCTGAGATATATTGAACACTAAACTGTTGGAACAGGAAAGATTCACTGGCAAAGAGGGATGTGATATATGGAAGGTCCCTGCAAAAAAATTGAAGTCAAAGAACTAAGAGTGAGAGAAATAATTCATCTGGGGCCTCTGGTCAACAAGGAACAAACAAAAGCAGAAGCTGGGCAGATCTCTTTTAGGACTCCTGGCACCCCTGGGAAGCAAGAACATTTTGAGGCCATGCTCCCAGCCCAGAGGGTTTCTGCTGCAGGATTGTTTTATGGGCAGTAAAAAAGCCAGTTGCCCTTAGGCATCAGCAGGGCACCTTTTTTGGCATGTTCAGAGAGAAAGAGGGACTCTTATATCAACTCCTGCTCAGACCTACCAATGCCTTGGAGCACTTACTGGACTAAGGTGTTCAGGAGAGGTGTTGGCATTTGCTTCCTAAGGACCTGGAGGTTGCTGAGCAAAACAAAAATGAAGTTATTCCACTGTAAGTTATTGCACTGTGCCAGAGGAATTTGTGACAGTGGCAAGAGGCACTGTCAGTGAAAACAGGGTAGTGTTTTCACCCCTCTTTATATGGAGGACAAACTATGCATTTTTTTATGGGCTGGACAGACTTGATATTCCTGTAATGTCTTTTAAAATTCAGTGTCCCCAGTGACTAGAGTTCCAATGTGAGCAGCCTCACATAGCTCAAGAGGCTGTGGGAAGGAGAATGTGGGGTAGAGAGGTGTCCCTGTGGCCAGTTGTGAGGGAGGAATTGAAAAAGCACAAAGGATGTTCAGCGAGTGAAGCTCAGCAGGTCTGTTTGTTGGGATGCTGTCTGCAGCATGGCCCAAAAGGAGGAGGACAGGGGGTGCCAGGGTCAGATGATCCCAGAAAGGGAGAAAAGTGTCTCCCTTCTCCCCATCATCTGTGGAACATCAAACATCTCTTGGTTATCCTTGGTTGCCAAGCAGGACTCCAGCTCAGCTAACAGCTTCCCAAA